CTGGTTTCGTCGGCCTGCTTTCGGGAGCACAGGGGGATATGACCACAATCGGCTTGGTCATGAGTTTAGGGTCGTCTGGTTTAGTTTCGTGCTTCCACTCCTGACCTGTTGTGACCAAGCTTGCGCGCGTCTAGAGGACGATCGGTAGGTAGGCGCCATTGACATTGTTCTCACATTTCTGTTAGGCAGATAGAAGGTATAAAAGCTGTCATCAATCATTGATCATTGCCGTATGTTTCGTCTAGAGGACGATCCTCAGGTAGGCGCCATTGACATTGTTCTCACATTTCTGTTAGGCAGATAGAAGGTATAAAAGCTGTCATCAATCATTGATCATTGATGCCCGTATGTTTTCCGGTTTTCTGGTTTAATCCTTGACACCGCCCTGGGAGCAGCCGAGCTCTTTTCACTGGCAGTGGGGCTTTGCATAATAAATGGCGAGCTGCCGATTGCAACGCTAAAATGTAAGTACACATCAAATCATTGGGATTCCTGCAACTCTCAGCTGAATATTATCAACCTCCCTGTCGTTGCTTGTATAGTACAGTAATGAGAACCTGGCTGATATACATGATCAACATGTGGCAAGGTATTAACGACGCGTGATTAGCTGGCGAAATACAGCCCAAGTAAATTACATTGAACAGCTGAAGGAACCTAGCTCACGTATATAACTAACAAGCGCCAATTTGTCCTGGCTGGTCCGACTGTCAATGGTTCAGCTTGGATGGGATTAAAAGTTGAGCTTGACTGGGCCTTTTAATGATAATATATGTCCTAGCGCTATATGTAAAGCTTTCTTTGTGCGCTTTGTTCTGTGGGCTATTGGCCTCCTCAAATAAAAGGTTAAGAGTTACTTTATCGAAGTATTGCTATCAGGCGGGTGGCTGATAACATTATAGCAATAATTCATACAGCGAGCATTCCAGTGAGCACTTTATCATTGCGTAAATTTGAGGCTGACGTACACCGAAAGTTTAGCCTCAAGAAATACGAGATTTTCATTAGATGCATTATGCCCCAGTAAGAGACGAGCCGCATGATATATGATCAACAGGAGAGCTCGGACCGGATGAACTTATCTACCATCTGGATAAAATAATTTGGCTACTTCGCCAGAACAAGGGCGCAACTGGCCTCAACATCAACATTATTGAGATATGCCGGTAGATTCCGTTCGAAGGGCTGGCGATCGTTTCAAATTTTAACGCTTCAGGCAAAGTCATCGTCGTGTTTCCTCAGACTGACTCGCTAGCACATCGTTACTAGTTTTACGCTATAACTTCACGGCTTTCAACTTGCTCTTCTCTGGGGCCTGAAATATGAATTTACACCTCCAGGAATAATTTTGGGTTTTGTGCTTCGGTTCAAGTTTACATCACAAAGAAACTGCCTAGTGGGCCGTTAGGCAACTCAAACTCGGCGCTTTTTTGGGTGCTGCAAGTCCAGTAGTAACAGCAATTAGTCATTTGCGCATTAACGTTTGGGGACAAGCCTGAAGATCCCCACCACGCAGTTGGCATCATTCACTATTACAACAGTCGATGCGACAAGTAATCCAATCGACACCAGTGGTTATCGCGACTAGTCGGCGTGTCACAAGACACGCAAAAGCCGAACCGTTTGTTCTGTGATGACCATCTGGGTTGAGGCACACCAAGCTCGACCGCTGAGTGCAGGTCATCCGTCACGGCTGCTGAGTCTCGGTGCAACAAGGCTTGCCCCTGAACAACCAACGCCTGCTGACACTTGTTTCTTTCCTCGGATCAAGCAGGTAAAGTTTATCTAACGCATGCTTAGTTGTTTGGTGGGGCCACCGTAAGGGGATGACAATGGTTTACGAAAAGTGCAAGGGGGTGTCCACTGCTCCAAGTAACCATTGTCGTCTGATGGAGAAGCAACCTTGAAAAACATCTGTGATGATCGCCTCTTACTGTTCTAAACGGACTGATCCCTAATTACCCAAAGCAAATTGCTAAAAGGAAGCCACAATCCCAGGTGGAAGAAAAACGTGAATTTACCACCAAACGTGTATATGGCAGATTGCAACATTAAGTAAAACGTTGTTACCACGCGTGTTTCTCGTAGCTGTGCTACCATAGGAATAGCGCGACACAACATCGCAGCCAAACTTAACCCATGCCGCTTTCGTTCTGTCAGCTTGTGATATTGAGACTAACTGAAAGGCATAGGCATCGGATCAAAATGCTCATTTTCCACAAGGATACGCGTGCCTGGGCACATGGTGCCCATGCCAGCTGTGATCAAGAAGGTGTGAATCTTGTACCTGCCGGCCGCAAGATATCTGAATTAAGAGGACTCGCCCAATCCAGTTAGCCACGCGCGTTTCATCAACATTTGCGACATCTGGGATGCACAGGAACGGCAACTTCAGGTGCTTCTGGCGATGCATATATAGTCGTAGTGCCCATCCTCCGACAGCAGATCAAGCACTTATCGGGACTCACGAGACTTATCCGGAACTTAAGGCATACCATCTGTCACAATAAAGCCCAACTGTCCACCACTTGCTCAAAACAGCAGGTCAACACTTCTGGCGGTGTCTGAAGATATACTGAGACATGAGGACCCCGCGGAATTCATCGGCTACAGACTGCCGCACTACATACGACGGCGATCGACAATAAAGCGGGGCCATTCAGGTGCCCAGTTACTCTTCGGTTAGCCGTCAGCTTATAGCTATTCGTCCATACAAAAATTGCCACGTTATGATGGTCAACACAGTACGAGGCGTCAAACAGCTGACTTCCGTGGCTCTGAAGGCAAAATCAGACTGGATGACTGGTAAAGAGTGGACTGTTTGTCATTACCGAATGCACCTAACTCACTGGCTTCTTATGATTACTTCAATGTTTCCTGGTTTCGGCGGTTATCTGTAGCTTCCGTAGCATACTCACCTGAGAAGCAAAACATCATTGATGTGAACGCCAAGACGACACAACTATTCCTCATGTATCCATGTAACGGCTTCTTAAATGTTCTGAGGGATGAAAACAAGGCAGCCGGCAGTTTTTAAACAAACACAAATCGCCGGGTCATAGCAATGCAATAGAAACATTGATTCCATAAGCAAAATTAAGGTTAAAGATCTATTGAAACAAATCTAACGAGTAGGGGCTGAAAACGGTGATTTCTGGTTTGAGGATACAAAAGTGTATTACCAAAACTTTACTTGGAAACAATGGATGTGGATAAGAGTGTACATCGCAAGGAATGTCCAGCATCTCAGATGAAATCAAATCTAGCGCTATCGATGATCAGGAGTGTGTCCTCCGTAAGATAGCCTGTTCGGTGAGCTTGACGGAGAACGCCAGACGGTGGTGTAAGATGAGTGCGCAAGATTTTTGTAGGTTTATTTAAACAATATGCCCGGCACGCTGTTGAATTCCTTTTCGGATTCCCCCGTTGCAATTCGCAAAATGAGATTGATTTCTCGAAATTTACGGCAATTTCAGACTTGCCACTTCATAGTTTACCAGGGCCTCGCATGTGCGGAACTCGTCTCCGGTTAGGCGTCGATTGACTGGAATCCGATCGTACAGAAACTTCGACAGTTTGTGGTTGTGTTCCAGAAAATGAGAGGTCACTGCCAGTTGTTTACTTTGCCTCCGTATACAAAACTGCACCGGACAGCTGGTGCGCCGCGTACTTTTTTATTAGAAAATAAACTCGGCTTACTAGCTTCTTCGGATTCCACGGCTTTCCGTTGGTCTTGGAGGGCGCCCGCTGCATTTGTAGTACACCCATTTGTGCTTCGATTACTGGATGAACGCACGAATATCACAAAGTTATCCTTCATTTATTCATTTAAGCTCTTCTCAAATGCCGCGAAGGATGAAAATGATATACTCACAAATTTATCAACGAAAGCCACTTCCGAAGCCATAGCAGACCGAGTTCAAAGCCGAATGTGCGCCAATAAATTTCAAAAGAGATCGATTAAAACAAATCGCATAAAAATGACGGCAGATGAGGGGGATTTTCAGTTTGAACATATATGCAGAAAAGTGCAACATTCTGACGTTAAAGTTTTTATTTCACCCGCAGGGGATTTCAGAAAAATGCCAGAGGTAAGGTTTGGTGTGGCTGTTGACTTATTTGCAGGCGAACAAGGATACGACTACCCATCAAATGCAACAAGTGGTCGTTACCCGCTACCGCCTGATCGTCCAGAACCCGTGTGACCACCGCGGGCATCTGGGCGAGAGTCTTTGTCCCTCCGCTGTCTGCAGGCGGCTATCGTGGACCCCTATACCGGATCCCGTCCCTCCGCCCCGTGAATATCCACCAAAGGGTGCTCTTCCCCCTCGCCAAAGGTAACCTTGCTGATCGTTTGCATCGCCTGTCTTAGGTACGATAACTACGAAAATTACGGCCGGTTAACATAAGTGATTAGTTTTAGGACAAAACCAGGAATACCCAATCGGACTAGGATTCTCGATCCGGCATCACCATGATTATATTTCAATCACGTTCTCTGGTAGGAGCGTGGCTACTGCGAGTGTAATTGAGGATATTGGCTTGTGACTGTTGACGTCCGTGGCGCAAATACAGACGTCAGAACAAAAGGTGGGATTAGTCCGCGCTGAAGAACCTGGTCACCAGGGTTAAGGGCCGGAGGGTCGTCAGTCTGTGCTTTGTAATCGTCTGACTAAGTGGCCTGGAAAACTGCGGATTCCAGGTGAGCATACGTCCTTGAACAATTGAAGGCACTTCACGCGCATAAATGATGTCACAGAATGGAAGCCGTTACTTTCTATTTGTGATCCATTAAACCAATAGAAAAGAAGCGTCTTCTAGTTGTCATTTCATCTGCAATGCCAACCTCATTTTGAACCCTGTCTACAACTTCTATTCTTTGACACCGAAATTTCCCCGTACTGATCAGCCGAATTCAAGTTAGTGGTGATTATGGTCAACCATAAAAGTAGTGACTTTCAAATCAAGTTGCTGATGGATATGCCCCGCTAACTGTCCCGCCAATCTAGGTGGAGTCTGCTTTGTGGGACTAGATCAGTCACTGCATGCCACAGGTTGGAAGGAGACAAGATAGTCATATGGTTGTAGGCGTGCGTCACTGCCTTCCACCCTGGAAAACTGATGTGTTTCACAAAAGCGACCGGATGTTCCTGGGTGTGTAACAACTCCTGACAGTAAATCCTTCGTCTAAACGTTTTGGAAGCTCGATATAACGAGTTCTAACACCTGTTACACTGCACTCACATGGTGGTCGGATCGTCTGCTGAGCTTGGTAATTACGCAAACGTACCATCAACAGTCGACGTGACAACAAGATGAATTGATGTCACTGAGGTTGTTAAAGCGCAACTAGTGATGACCTTATCGGGGAACTATCATGTTGAAATACCTCGTCAAAAGCAGTCTTCAGCTTGAGGGAAAGGTTCCGCTTCAGAAATCGTGGTTCAGGATATCGCAACGTAAGACTGTGCGTCAAATGACTATCAGGCATGGAAGCTATCCTACAAGGGTGTTTGGTACAGGATATTGAGCACTGTTAGTGGGCAGATTTTCGATGTCCTCAACGTGGAAAGCGTCAAATTTTCTGGGAACAACCGAAATCGATAAGCGAACTAACACTGACCAACATTTGTACCCTATTGGTACTGTTTTTTAAAACTGAAATGAAACTGAACCCTGCTCCTGACGTTAAGTCATCGGGTAGATGATTATTGGCAGCTCTCTACGGAAAGTTTCGGGCGTTCATTTTTTGGGTGGGTAGAATCGAACCTGAGCATGGTAATATCGGTAGACTTGATGTTCTCAGGATAATGGTGGTTCCTCGTGATCGCGGAGGAGAGTCAGTTCTAACGAGCTAGACTGTATTTGTTTTGCACCGACAATGTTTCTGAAGGGCTACGTACAAGTCGGATAACACCTGGTTATCACATTGGTTTTCTGCAAATAGTTTCAATTCATTCCGAAATCCGACCGACAGTAAACTGCGATACACTAAATTTGTGCGTCACTGTTTCTATACCATTGCTTGTTGATCACTGCATCGTTTAGCCAATAATCGTGTGACCAACATGCACCGTCCTCATTTAGCGCCTCAGTCGCTGGATTTTTTTCAGTAAATCATCTGTATGAATCGAAGTTATAAAGACTTGTAGAAGCTGACTTGGCTATCTAATGCGTCGCTGGCAGGGTGATCAAAGTACACGTATCTGAACTACCCAAGATTAACAATGAGTTTATGGATGCTAAGATTCGAGTGGCCGGGTTGTTATTTAGATAGTCTACAGGCACGAGATCTAGGAAGCATGTCGTTTTGGAAAGCCAGTGATCATCTCTTGCTTTTGATCAGGGTGTGAAATGGTTCAGTTTACACACTGCTACGGGTGTGTCCACTACTAAGCGACTGCCATATAAATTAGAAAATGCGGTTGCTTCCACACATTGGCTCTTTGCATTGTTGAGCTCTGTGTATCTCGGTGGTTGCCGGCGTCTTTATTCGCTTGTTCCGATTGGTTCCCACAGAATAGAAACTACGATAGCCTGGTTCAGGTGTTTCGTGTCAATGGGTTCATTTTGTGGAAGCCGTGGCTGAATGGTGACTACTAAACACGACTTAGGTGATTTCACTTCCACCGTGGAGTGCTGGTTGATGTGTTGACCAGTCTAGCGATATTTCAAGGAACGTGCCAAGCTGGACCAGTCAGCACCAAACATTCGCTAACAACTATGATATGCTTGTCAGCGCATTATTATAGGAACATTCAGTAATCTTCCCCTCGCCTCGCTTAGTCGCTGTGAATTTTACTAATCCTCGCGGCTACCTGCATACGTAGTTGCGTATCTGACATATCTGCCACTTCTACTGGTGGTGCTGAGCCCAGCTCCTTGAGGGAACAAATCTCGGTCGCCCCCGCTGAACTAATCAAGGTGAACTGAAGATCAAGTTTCATCGATCTGCAACTCCAGGCAACTAATAAGTATCAAGCCTTTGGTTTGTATGCCTGACACTGCGTACCCGTTGCTGTAGCTAACATGAGTTTGTCACTTCGTAGTTCGGGAACAACACTTTCATAAAGTTCACAGCGCTCTGTGATAACATGATCCTGGGGGTCGGGTTCATTCTATTGTTTTCACGGATTTACGGTACTCCGTGTACTCTGTCGAAATATGTAGTCGTTTGGGGGCTCATCTTGAAGTTAGACGGTAGGTTCAAGTAAACGTTTTTATGTGCAATCCCACTCTGCGGGCACGAATCATGCTGCTGGCGCAGATAGGTTGGCGTTTCGGACTCTGGTTATGGTCCGTGTGACACTGTTCGTGGTCCGAGGGTGCCGTTCATATCATGTGTCGGTATCGATTTTGTTCTACTGTATTGACACTCCTCATCTCTGTGGCTGGTACCGGTATCGTTTCCTGGTATTCGCCCTTGCTGGATATTCTTGTTCGTCATCGCAGCTTTTTTTTTCTCCAGCAGACGAAGAAGCTTACACGTCATTTGCTGGACCAGATAGTGCGTTCGTGGCAGATGCGCAAGCTGCCGATTCAACCAATATGCTGTTAATTCTTGTCATTTTCCTTCCATTCTAGTCGTCCCTGAGCTGATTTTAATGGATGCATCACTTTCACGTTCGTAGTTGTTGATACGGTACTCCCTCTGTCGGGATCTCGAAAAAGGCAAGTAGATTTGGTCGCCCGGGATAGGCTGCCGTGGCTTGGATGGACGGATAGCCTAACAGAGTTAGAGCTGTGCTCGGTCTTATCCCGAAACCACTGCATGAAGGGTTTTTGAGAGAATACCGTAATTGGCCGTCGAAACTGCACGGAAGTAAGCAAATGTTCTGAGATATATTGTCGATGTAAACCCTACAGCGAACGACGCACTCCACCACACGCGTATAGCTGCGCCGTACGTTCGAACCTTGTTTGCAAGCACAGTCTGGTCAGTAATTTTACAAGTAGTCAAGTAGTACAGAAATATCTGAAATTTGAAATCATTTGTTGGAAACGCGTTTTTTTGCTAATTTTCGTTATCCACTCATTCTTGCTATTAACCAATGATTAGTTTTCTATGGTTTCAGGCGCCCGGGATGATGAACACTGCCACAAGCTGGTTGCATCATACGTTCAGTATATTGTGCTTTGTTTGCAGTCGCTTTCTGGGTCTTAGATGAGCGTGGCGTAAATCATTTTCATATAGTTTGTGACTTGACAGGAAGCTCTAGCCGGTGTTGCGTTCTCCGAAGAACCTACATTACGTGTTGGCTCAACCGATCTGTCTCATTTAATGATATCTGTGCATCTAACATCCGGAGTCACGTGTTACTTGCAATATATTTTCCAACCGTCCATGCACTACCGAAGTTCTCAGCACGTGAACCGTTTCCTAGTACTACACGGTCCCGGCTCCTCTTCTGTGGCTTTGCTCGTCAACCAATACGTCGTTATTCTCTAGTATAATTCCTACCGAATCTGCTAATTTGTCCATCCCAGTTCAGAGCCATATGACCATGATTTTGAGCAAATTACTCGGTACACTTCTTTTCCTTGGGTTCATTATTCGCTCAACTATTCTATAGTTGCGGAATCGCCGCATGTAGAATGGCTGTAAGAAAAGGTTTAAGCGGTATGATTCAACACAAAGCAAATAGGAGTAGAGACTGGAAACAAAAGTCTAGGTCAAGTTCCCAAGATATACAGGTTGGTTGGTTGACTGCATGTTTACAGATCTTATTCTTTCCGAGTACCGAAAAACACACGAATACGTTTCGGACAACTGTTTGCATAGACTCTCAGGAGTATTCACCTGTTCTACCGAACTGGATACACGTGATCACCATCCGGAGGACAAGCCTAACAGGTTTCTCCGACATGATATGTGTCCACGTCTACCCAAGACATGATTATCGAAGCTTCTCCAACGGTATATTCACGTGGCAACACCTGTGTCAACTTTAAGCAACGATGTACACTGCGGCAACTTTTACTTACCATTTAACGAGCCAGATCGGTTGAGTGTCCCGTAATAATGCGCTACTCGGAGCTCTGGTACCCTCTAAGATTAACCTAAATTGGTTGTTCAGATCAGTAATTCTGTTGTCTGTTGCCATTTCGTATTGTTTGGAACTTTGTTTGGTCACTATAATTTTCCTCCTGACGGTCGTCAGGAGAAATGCTACAATGGGCATACTCCAATAATAAATTCTCGTACCAAATGGTGAGTTATGCTTCCCCAACACTGACGTTTTTCGTCAGCCCAGTCGAATTTGGTGAAAAAATATTGAGCTGAATTCCTTGGAAGATTTTTCTTTGGTGAAATGGGCACAACGAAAGTAGACAGATAGTCCTTATCAGTGTGGGCTGTTTCTCCCAACTTGCGTCTGTCAACGATCTACAACGATCACGTCCAGCTCGA